ACTATGACATTTTAATATAATTAAAACATTTCCTATTAAGAGGAAAGTATTTCTAACCATAACAACAAAAAAATATTAAGATTTATTTCATATTTCTTAAGTTTTACATTACGCGAATGAGAAAAATGGTCAGAGCGGACATGAGAAAATTATTGCAGTTTAACATAAAAAGTTATAAATGTGCAAAAATATATATTTATTATTCAGTTTTATTTGACCTCATGCTACCAACTAAACTTAAATCAATGGCTTTAGACACTTAAAGTATTACTGACAGTTTTATTATGCTTCCTATTCCTCTTTGAATGTTATGGACCCAATCTTAACAGTTTTCATGGAATGACCCAACTATAATAAAGATGATGATACAAATATAGTCACATTCAACATGATTTGTATTTATTTGCTTTTATACCTCTATTACACTTTAGTGGTGGCAAAAGGGAATATTTAGCCTTGATATTTTTTAAGTGGTTGCAAATGATCATGTGGAAAAGATCTGATTGTCTTTGGAATATTTAATTCCAAATGTATTATTTTTGTGGGATATTTTGAAGCCCTTGGTCATCCTGGTATCCCCAGAGTTACTGGTTTTCCATCACGATCTTATGTCATTTCAGAGACTCTATTATGAAGGTCAAGACTGATAAAATACAGCATGAAAAGAATTATAGCGATGAGTTTATGAAAAAACAAAACAGAAAACATAATTAACCCCAAAGCTGAATCAATGTAATCTTTTTAACGATTGAAACCTTATTAACATAATCTTTCCACTCCTCCGCTCAGCCAAGACGTTTGGAAAAGTTGGATTTTAAATTAAATGACACCTTTAACCTCTGAACATCCACCCAGTTTGAAACAATCCTCGACTGTTTAGCATACACAAATGGAAAAGCAAATAACTGAGTAACTGTAGGTCCACATTAGATGTTTGATGCATCATTTGAAAGCTAACACCTTCTAGTTTCTTAAAATATAAATAGTGTGAGTAGAACACAGACCAAGCTGCATCAGTTCAAACATTAATCAAAGTGTTTTTTTTTATTCTAAAAAATAATAGGTATTTTTTAAACATCAGTAATAAAGACATGCTTGAGAAAAGGCAGGTCTCATTGTATTAAATTTGTTCTACATCATGTCGGCCACAAATGCAGAAAAGTTCAGGCCTCTGGCTGCAGCAGTTCCAGAGCTGCGGGGCTTTGATCTTTGCTTTACTATTTGACCCATAGAATAACACTGAAGCATTTTGATGACAGCAAAACATTCATGACGCAAATATTTTCCCACTTTTTTCAGTGTATATAACTAAATGTTACATTTATAAACCTAAAATAACATAAAAGTCAATAAAAATAGTGAAATCTCTGCTTTTCAAGCTAAAATAAGCCCACTGGAAAAAATAAAAATCTAGAGCGGCCATTCTTTTCCTAAAATAAGTGCATTTGTTCTTGAATTGAAGAGTTAAAAGAGACATTTTGCCAATGGAACAAGAGAATTTACACTTAAAATAAGAAAACACTATTACATTGTCTTATTTTGAGTGGATTTTATCGAATTATCTTATTTTAAGAGTAAAAATACTCATTCCATTGGCAAACTACCTCATTTACCTGCTCAAATTAATGGCAAATACACTCAAATTAAAAAATGTTTACTTATTTCTAGTATTTAGTCTTTTTTTGGGGGGGTCTAAGGCTTTGTAATGAAACAAAATCAGCGTCCAAACTTCAAAAATATTAGAGCGTTATTAGCAGAGATGGCAAAAGTACTCACTTTCCGTACTTGAGTGAAAGTACAGATACTTGTGTTAGAAAATACTCTGGTAAAAGTGGAAGTACTGATTAAACTTCTTTACTCAAGTAAAAGTAACAAAGTACAGGCTTGTAAATTTACTTAAAGTATAAAAGTAAAAGTAGAAACCACTTTTTTCATGCCGTTGCCTACATTTTAAATGGATGTCTGCCAATAGGACTAGATCTCCGTTGTGTTCATTTTCAATCATCTCGTCGTCCATGCTACTATGCTAACGCCACCGCCACCAAGCTGCAATGATTTGCCGCCAATGAATACCGCCGAATCTGTCGATTCATCTTGTAGTGGTGCGTCAAATGCAACGTAGATTCCCATCCAATTACCGTATTTTCACGACCATAAGGCGCACCGTACTAAAAGGCGCAGTCTCAGTTATGTGTCCCATTTCTGTATTTAACACACACATAAGGCGCACCGGACTATAGGGCGCGTTTTTTATATACAGGTACATGTCCTCTACTACCTTTAAATACCTCTACTGCGTATTTAAAAATACAGCGGGGGCAAAACTGAGTATGACTGTGCTTTATTCATGTATTTATTAAAAAGTATTAATCAAACCTGGCAGCTGGCCGTGAGACAGACACATGGCAGATGACACAGCGCTGTGATGACTCCTAAATTAACTTAAAATCCTGAAACCTGCCAACGGAATATGTTCGCTTTTATTACCGGTATCCTGGTGCCTGCAGCTAAAATTATTTAGATGAAAAACACCTGCCAGCAGCAGCGGTGAACCCGGAGGCTGCCCAGCCTAGAGGCTGCTGATGAAAGGATTTCTACTGTCGGCGCACTGCTGGTATGTGGGGGTCTGAGCGCCTTCTCACTTAAAAACATATTAAAACTACTTTATTCCCACTGATCACAGCAAATATAGCTGCAAGATTTAGATTATTTAGATGAAAAAACACCTGCCAGCCGCCGCGGTGAAGAGGAGGAGACCCGCCCAGAGGCTGCTGTTGAATTAAGTTTTCAGGTAGAAAAATAGAGCGGGAGCAAAACTGAGTATGATTGTGCTTTATTCATGTATTTATTACAAAGTATTAATCAAACCCATCAAAGTCATCATCCTCTGTTTCTGAATTAAACAGCTGCGCTAAATCAGACATGCCAGTTTCCCCTTCTTCGCTGTCAGAGTCACTTTCCGTGCCGTGCGTCTCCTCGGAAATAATGCCGGCTTTTGCGAAAGCTGGAACAACAGTCCCAGCAGACACTTTAGTCCAAGCATCTACAATCCATCCGCTAACGGTGGCGTAACTTGCCCGGCGCTCCCTTCCACTTATCCTGAAACTGTGGTCTCAGTCTGTCATCCATCGCTCCCACGCCGCTCGCAGCCTTACTTTGAACGGCCGCTTCACACCGATGTCGAGCGGTTGAAGTTCCTTTGTCAGACCCCCGAGATAACGGCGAGCACAGCGTTCATTTGATTCACCTTTTTTTTTCACATCAGCTGTGAGATGGGCACGCATGGAGTTACATATTAACAGCGATGGTGATGAGTGGAAAAAAACACCTGGTCTCCTTACATTCAGCCACTCTTTCATCATCTCCTCAATGAGGTGGTCTCAAAAGTCGCAGTTACAACACACATAGGGCGCACCGCACATTTTGAGGAAAAAAAAAAGACGTTTAAGTGCGCCTTATAGTCGTGAAAATACGGTAGATTGAATTTGGTATTGATGACGTGAAAAATAATAACGGTAACTCCATTGAAATGATTCAAAACTAAAGTAACGAGCCAATTTTTAAAAATGTAAGGAGTAGAAAGTACAGATATTTGTGTAAAAATGTAAGGAGTAGAAGTAAAAAGTCACCATAAAAATAAGTAGTAAAATAAAGAAAAAATATCAGAAAAATCTACTTGAGTACAGTAACGAAGTATTTGTACTTTGTTACTTCCCATCTCTGTATTTTGAACAGCAGTAATAGAGAACATGCTTGAAAAAAAGGCAGGTCTCATTGTATTAAATTTGTTCTACATCATGTCAGCCACAAATGCAAAAAAGTTCAGGCCTCTGGCTGCAGCAGTTCCAGAGCTGCGGGGCTTTGATCTTTGCTTTACTATTTGACCCATAGAATAACACTGAAGCAATTATGCAATTATGAAGCAAATATTTTCCCACTTTTTTCAGTGTACATAACTAAATGTTACATTTATGAACCTAAAATAACATAAAAGTCTATAAAAATAGTGAAATCTCTGCTTTTCAAGCTAAAATAAGCCCACTGGAAAAAATAAAAATCTAGAGCGGTCATTTTTTTCCTAAAATAAATACATTTGTTCTTGAATTGAGGAGTTAAAAGATACATTTTGCCATTGGAACAAGACAATTTACACTTAAAATAAGAAAACACAATTGAATTGTCTTATTTCGAGTGGATTTTATCGAATTATCTTATTTTAAGAGTAAAAATACTCATTCCATTGGCAAACTACCTCATTTACCTGCTCAAACTAATGGCAAATACACTCAAATTAAAAAATGTTTACTTATTTCTAGATCGTTTTTCCAGTGCCCCAGTGTTTTGGGGGTCTTAGACTTTGTAATGAAACAAAATCACCGTCCAAACTTCATAAATATTGGAGCGTTATCAGTAATCTGCTTCGGTCTGTGCGCACTGATCCAGTCTCAGCATTGTTGTTGGTAAGACAAAAAAAACCTTAGAGAAAACAAAGTGTGCCGCCATTTTAAAACCTGTAGAACAAAAGATGGCTGCCAGATATTTAGTGGCGCATGACTCACTTAGAAAGTTAAAGGAAAACCTGCATTAAATGAGTCCAGGGATGTAAGAACATGTGTTTGAACCTGCTGAAAATGAGCTGTGAAAGAATAAAACATCCTCACCTTGTCATGTAGAAGCCTTTCAAAAGGCCTACAGCCCAGGAAGCTGGTTTGACGGCGCCGTAGCGAGGCGGGGGATGTTTGATAAGAGTGCTTAAGAATGCAATGTTTAGTTTGATGCAATTATTGGGATACATTAGAACAGTATGGTGCATGTCAATCACCACATTGTAATTTGCACATTTGCACACGCAGCGGGGGTTTAGGCTAGAGAGTCTATCACCAGCTACAAAGCAGCACTCAAATATTTAGCAAGAGAAAAGCTTTGGCACAGTTCAATGGAGCACCAAGGCAAAAATAATCATTAGTCTCATTCTCTAATTCTGTGCTCTTGTTTCACAGGATGAGGCCGTCAAGGCGGGGGCAAAGACCAAAAGACCAAAAAGCAAGAAGACAAAGTGAAGTTCAGAAGAAAAAAAGCATTTTGTTTGTTTCTAAAATGACTCAAAAGCCTTAATTATTATTATTTTTTCAGATTTTAGCCAGAAATTGAATTGATTTGATTGGAGATACTTATTTTAGATCAGCTAAAAGCAAAAAAATCCAACCATATAACAGGGTTTCATGCTGGGGATGTTGTGCAGTTTTACAAAATCCAGATTTTTTTTTACTTTGGAAAAAGTCAAGTGCAGAACTATTTGGAAGTGTGATGTTCTCTCCTACTTTAGTGTCTGTTCTTGATGTTTTTGGGGGAAAAAAGGAAAAAGTCCTGCCTAGATGATGAGTAAAAAGATGGAAGAGCTCTCAAATAAATCCATTGCATGTCCGTTAGATGAGGATCTTATTAAAGAATGATTATAATTTTTTCACAGAGAATTAAATATTTATAGGGAGAGGATTTTACAAAATAGTTGACAGGATATGAGTTTGATTTGTTTTTAGGTTGTTTAATATGAGCGACATGCGGATCATTTAATTTATTTTATTTTTTACAGCACATGAAGAACTACTGAAATTATTTTCAGATTACACATTAATAGATTTATTAATTCCACAGGGAGAAATGAATGACTTTAGGATTAGGATTCACTCCATGATGATAACCTACTGGCTCAATCTGGAACCATTGTATGTCGATCCTCACTGGGACTTGATCAACAGCAGATACCGCACCATGACGTCACTAACCAGTAGGTGGCAGTAGTGTTCTTTGACAAACATGGATGCCTCCAGTAAAGCTCATTCACATGAAAATTACTCTGAATTAAAAACACTGATCATTTATTGAACAGGATGGAATCATTTCAGATTTAAAGAACTTTCAGAAGTTTGGATTCTGAATATGAGCGACTTTTCCTTTAAGACAGACTGTTCACCAAGTATGTGGCTATCTGAGAGGAATTGATTGTGAAACATCATATTTAAAGGAATAGTCCACCCAAAACATGATTAGCCTTCATTTTCTACTCACCCCCATGCTGAGCAACACTCTGGAGTACTTTTTTGATATCTCAAATGCATCTGGAGATCTGGGAGGCTTCTTGCTGTCTGCTGACATTCAAATAATGGAGGTCTATGGCGCCCGAGGCAGAAAGGTCCATAAAAGTCCACAAAAAACGTGTCAATATTCCTCCATACTGCTCGTCCAATGTATTCCAAGTGTCCTGAGTGGGTAGCGTCCAGAATTTACTCGAAACGAAGTCATTTAGAATTTTTTTAGAGCATAAACAGTAGTGTAAAGGATTTCCTAAAAGCGCGTTCACGAGTCTACGGAAACCGCGGCAGACCAAACCAGATGAAAGTGCGCATTCAGCTCGGCAAAGAACTCATGCTCTTCCTCAACACTGAAGTCCTCAGACATTTTTCTTTCGTTGTTTCTTTCTTTGCACAGGTAAACAGCACATTTCTTCTTCTACGCTTGCATTATCGGCAGAGCAGACGCTGAATGCGCACTTTCGTCTGGTTTGGTCTGCCGCGGTTTCCGTAGACTCGTGAACGCGCTTTCAGGAAATCCTATACACTACTGTTTATGCTCTAAAAACATTCTAAATGACTTCGTTTCGAGTAAATTATGGACGCTACCCACTCAGGACACTTGGAATACATTGGACGAGCAGTATGGAGGAATATTGACACGTTTTTTGTGGACTTTTATGGACCTTTCTGCCTCGGGCGCCATAGACCTCCATTATTTGAATGTCAGCAGGCAGCAAGAAGCCTCCCAGATCTCCAGATGCATTTGAGATATCAAAAAAGTACTCCAGAGTGTTGTTCAGCATGGGGGTGAGTAGAAAATGAAGGCTAATCATGTTTTGGGTGGACTATTCCTTTAAGGCCAGTAGAGCATGAAAAGTGCAGACTAGATACACATATACCTTTTTTTCTTTTTTTAGATTTTTGACAAAAAAAAATATGAAAACCAAGAATAGTTTTTCTTTCACCTAATTGTCATCCATTAATTCATGTTGCTCTTTCATATTAAATATCAATAAAATATGCTAAAGTTTCTGGCTGTTCTTATATCTAATAAAATAAAAATCCTACTTTTCTATGATGCTGGAACTTCTTAGTGTGACACGTATTTGTAAAAAAAAAAGTAAATCCCTTAATTGTCCCATAACGGGGAAATTCCCTCTCTGTATTTAACCCCTCCCCGTGGGGAGCAGTGGGCCGCCATTGTGTAGCGCCCGGGGAGCAGTGTGGGGTTAAGGGTCTTGCTCAGTGACCCAGAATGGAGGCTGTGGGGATCGAACCGAGAACTTCAACCTTCTCAGAGCACAGAGCGCTGCTCTAACCAGTAGTCCATCGCTCCCTATTTAATTACACATCTGCAGGTCTGAGCTTTTTTCAATTAAGTGTTTATGACTGAACCTGTTAAATAAAAAAAAACTTTATCATTTCACAATCTGGACAAAATAAAAATTCTCCCCTGAAGTTTCAATTGAGTTTATCTTTCATCCAAATCTGCAGCTGAGGTAAATTTCACACACAGTTTGTTCAGAGTTTCAAAGGAATATCCTGATACACATCACTGCCCAACAAAATTAAGTTTCACCCCCCCCCCCCCCTCACATTATGCACATGCCCAATTTCCCCTCCCAATCTGACATCCGCATGAAGCCTGTTAAATATTCAACTTCTCTCAGTTCCCCCATTCTCCTCCTCTGGGGGTTCCTCCTCTTCTGCTGTCCTCTCTGTGATGGTGACACTTCCTCCTTTCCTGGACGCCGCTCGCATATTAAGGCGGAGCAGAGCAACTTTCCCAAAGGTATCTCAAAGTTTGGCAGATAGGTTTCTGTCAGACTGATGCAACAGCTGTCAACACAGAAACCTCTGCTGTTATGTGGAGATAAAATGGGCAACATGACATTTCATTTAAATGATAACACTCATCAGACGCTCTGGATTTCTGTACATTAGGGGTAATAACAGCTAATTCACTTAGCAGGGATTTCCATGCCTGACAAGCTGTCATCAGATTGAACCCAATCATCTCAATCCTTAATCATTTCTTTTGGACTCGTAGTGATATCACATTCATAGTTAATACTGAAGAGAATAATTAGCTGCCTTGGGGTTACATATTTCACCCGAACGCTTCCTGCTGCTGATTGAGGCTGAACTCATCGCAAGAACCATGACATCCTGGAGGACAGATTGAGTTTTCATCTTTTGCTATAATCTATATGTACGCTTGATTTGTACCTTTCCTGTTATAACCTGCAATTACGGAAGCCCAAAATGGCCAATTTCTACAAAAAAATATGAAGATATCTGATAGATGAACTAACTTACTATGAGTCTGGTATTAAAGAGAAATGTGTGCAATTATTTAATTCTCCTATCAGGCCCTATATATAAAATTAAGATTTATTTTATACATGTTGAAAGGAAAATTTCACTCATATTCTGAATTCAAACTTCTGAAAGTTCTTTAAATGTGAAATGATTCCATCCTGTTCAATAAATGATCAGTGTTTTTAATTCAGAGTAATTTTCATGTGAATGTGCTTTACTGGAGGCATCCATGTTTGTCAAAGAACACTACTGCCACCTACTGGTTAGTGACATTGTCACGGTGCGGTATCGGCTGTTGATCAAGTCCCAGTGCTGTATCTGGTGTTTGTCACAACGCGCTATTATCCAAGTCATCTTGAAAACATTCTTCTTCCAAATGTTGGCTACATATTACGGGTTTTTTCTCTGGCCAGAAGTTCGATGGCAAATCCTCCCTCTTCAAGTTGGCGATCCAACGACCAACCCGTCCGTGGAGGATCAGGAATCAGAAAGGTGGAATAACTCTTTTTTTTCACTTTTACCCGATGTATTCCAGCATCCAGCTGCCATGCACGTGGGCATTGTCAGTTTCACTATAGCTCTGGTGAATTTCAATGGTGAAGTCCTCTGGAAATCTTCAATAATTGTTGTTGATTGCAGATGTGTCTAGTAGTTCCCATTGATTTAGCTTGGAAAGCGGGGAGAATGGCGCTAGGCTTACCGCACCGTGACGTCACTGCTGGAAGATGGCAGGAGGGAGGGGCTACTATATTTGGGCAAAAATGGCCGCTCCCAGACTCAGTGATCGCACTGAAAATTTTATTTTTTTACTGATTAACGCTAAATTCATTAAATCACCGCAAATGTATTAGTTTTAGGTATTCAAATTGATGCATTGATCAAACCTTGCTGACCAGACTTTTCCTTTACAAAAAAGTTATTCTTGTCATAAAGATGCAGTACGTAAACCAGACCAGCAGGTGGTGAAAACTTTACTACAAAATTTTAACATTTCTGAGTAAAAGCAGTGCTCCTCCATATGTGGAGCAGCTCCATAGAAATAGGCTAAAGATTCATGCAAACTGTTTCTGGCCTTTGAAGTTTCATGTAAACAAAGTCAGGATGAAGTAAGACGACTGAAAACCTGCTTGGCTGACGAGTTTAGAGGTGAGAGTGCTTGTAAAAAGTGGATCTTTACATTCTGTCAACATTTGTATGGAGGTCGATTGAGAACTCAAATGTAGAGACCAGGAGGCAAAGGGTGAATCTTTAGATTTAATGAATAAAACAAAGGCAGACAACCAAAAATCCAAAATAAAAACAACCGAAAAACCCCAGAAAGCATCAGTGATAAACTCACATGGGAGCCAGAGACGAAAGAACAACAAAACAACAAGGAAGCAGCACTGAGTGACCGCAGAGGTGGAGTATATAAGGGGGACAGAACAAAGGATGGATTAATATGGGTGTGAGTGGAACTAACAAGAAGGAAGCCAAGGAGAAAGGAAACAAGCACAAGGGGACAGCAGAGAGTAACTAAAGAAGAAAATAAACCAGAGATCAACAAAACAGTACAACTGAAAACTAAAAACCATAACAGATAATCTTTAATAGTTGCAAAAAATAAAGATTTAGGATTTTATCTGTATTTAGTTTATCAGCATTCAGTATGGGGGGGAATTGCAAACAGATTTAAAAAGATTTACAGGGTTTTACTGTGGAAAGGGTGTTTTTCTATATCAAAAATTTATTGCAAATCACAAGTTTCCAAATTGCCCGTTTCTGTTATTTAAAACTATCATCTAAAGTTCGGAGACAGAAAGAAATTGCTCATTTTCTGGGTATTGATTCTTGGTAGCTTTTAGGAGAAATTGAATAAAACATTAAATAAAAAATTAGGAAATGAATTTGCTGCATAATTTTGATAATGTTATGGTTATTTTAAGGTGATATAGAGTAAAGTAGAGCTAATGTTAGTCATTCAATGGTTGAATTTAACGGGTTTTCTATTGTCCCTTTGTCAACTTCAAAGAAAA